CCGGCCGCGAGCCCCACTGTCGCCCAGCCTAGCGCTGTTGGCCTCGCCGGCGGCCGCCCCTTCCTGCCGGCGGCCCCTTGCCGTTTCCTGCCGCTGTCGCGAGCATGGCCACGACCGTGACTGTGAATGTGTGCGTGCGTGTGTGGTCCGACTGGGCCACTGCCACACGACGCAAGCCCCCCCAGTTAAAAAAACGAAAATGTAAAAATAATAATGATTTTAAAAACATTAATGTATTAGTTAATTAATTAACTTAATTAATCATGTTAGTTAACCTAATCAACTAAACTTAGTTAACTAAATCTGTTACTTAGTTAGGTCTATGACAGAATGACCCCACGCATCAGTTTGACCAAGTCAACTGACTGTTGATTGCTGACATCACCCTGGTGTCATGCTGACGTCATCTTTTATTATTCTGGATAATGTTGAAATAAATAATTAAATTCCAGAAATTAATAAAAACTTTAGAAAATCATATTAAATAAAACGTAGCTCGGATGGAAAAAACTTTGTACATGAAAGTTGCTCAGAACGACGAGACAAACCAGGATACGCAGCCCGTTCGTCCGCCACGCATCCCTAGCATAGCGAACACGCAACTTTCCCCCTCTGGTTCATCTGTCCAAAAACGCGAAACACCGGGGATACTTTCCCGGATGTTTCCCCCCTTCGCCGGTATCACCTCCTACCGCGTTAGGTCACACCCGGCACATATTTTTGTCATGTTATGCCTTGTGATGCATTGTTTGCTCTGTATTTACTACTTCTTCCCCCTCTTCTCTCCGGTAGACCCCGAGACCGATGCAGCCCTTGTGATCGCCTACGTCGACGACGACCCCTCCTTGCCAGAACAACCAGGCAAGCAAACCCCCCTTGAGCATTCCGATATCGCCTATTTCTTTTCCTCTCATGCTTGCATTAGAACTGCTACTGCTTTCTGTATGATCCTACTCCGATGCATAGCCTGTTGTTGTTACCTGCTTTTATACCTTACCTGCTTATCCTAAACTGCTTAGTATAGGTTGGTTAGTGATCCATCAGTGACCCCCACCTTGTCCTTGTTGCCCCTGCTTCATCATCGAAGACCCGATCAACGGGATTGAAGACCAGGCCCCGACACCGCACATCACTTTCCCCCTTAGTTGCTCACACTACCCGGTTATTATCGAGTGCCGAGGGTGAGACCTCTTCAGCACTTCTGATGTTAACCCTGTAGTGTAGCTATTCGGTCGTGGTCATCAAGGGTGATTTCCTCCTTAACCACTTCTGATACGACTCTGTTGTGCAACCCCTCAAGTGTGAACCTCGAGGGTGGTCCCTCTTACGTTCACCTTGATGATTACATCGAGTGGAATTCGCCGGGGGTGATTCCTCGAGTTTTCCCCTTGATGTTTGGACACACAGTTACTATGATTACTATGACTTTACACTGAACCATGTTACTAAAGACGGGTCGGTCCTGAGGGGTGCCTACGCGAGCTTAATTGCGAGTGATGTGGAGTCGGGTTGACCTGGAGGGTGCCCGCGAGATAATTACGATGCGTGGCCGGGCATTCCTAGCCCTTGCCGCAAGTCCTCGAGACGGGGCAACGGGGTCACATCTTTCGTGAGTCTCTGCTTGTTACCACGTGCTCCTAATCCACTACGATTTGGATATTTGACCCGAGGGGCCTCTGGCCTGATAGCACTAACCATCACGTGGGCATAGTATGGGCGTTCTGTGTCGTATGCATCAGCCGAAGCTTAATAGACGTCAGCGACTGAGCGGTGCGCGCCGGGTTGGACTGCGTAAGCACCTGCCTTGTTGAAGGAGGTAGCTAGGTCTGCTCACCGGCTGCGTACGCAGCGTGCAGGAGTTCCCGGGGAGATGGCCCATGACCCCTGGGGGCATTGGTTTAGTCCGGCGTGTTGGCCTCTCTATTAAGCCTAGGTCGGGTTGCGGCGTATTGTTTGGCCGAGGCAGGGCATGACCCAGGAAAGTGTGTCCGGCCAGAGTTAATCGAGAGTGGTGGGTAAGTTGGTGCACCCCTGCAGGGAAGAAAACATCTATTGATAGCATGTCCTACGGTAACAGACACTTGGAGTTGTATCCCGATCGATACAACTAGAACTGGATACTTGTGATGAGAACTGGATGGTGATGAGAATTGGAATGTGTTGACACTTGGATAGTATGGCTCTGGGATTGCCTTCTCGCAGGGAGTCGAGAAAGGATCTCTGGCCGAGGTTGATAACATTACTGCTATTTTACTTTATGCTACTCTACTCCCTCCTGTTGCTGCAAGATGGTGGTTTCCAGAAGATGCTAGTCTTCGATAGGCTAGGCTTTCCCCTTCCCTTCTGGCATTCTGCAGTTTTGTCCATAGATACAACCCATTCCTTTGATACAGATGCATACTTAGTTTAAATCTGATGTAAGTCTTGCGAGTACTTTGGATGAGTACTCACGGTTGCTTTGCTACTTCTTTTCCCCCATACCCGATTGTTGCGACCAAATGACGGACCCTCGGAGCCAGACGACGCCACTGATGACTACTACTACCCGAAGGATGCCTACTACTACGTGCCGACCGCTGACGACTTGGAGTAGTTAGGAGGCTCCCAAGCAGGAGGCCTTGCCTTTTCGATCGTTGTTGCTTTTGTGCTAGACTTCTTAAGGCAAACTTGTCTAACTTATGTCTGTACTCAGATATTGTTGCTTCCGCTGACTCTTGTGTTTTCGAACTTATGTATTCGAGCCCTCGAGGCCCGTGGCTTGTAATATAAAGCTTGTATTATTTTAATCTGTGTCTATAGTTGTGTTGTGATATCTTCCCGTGAGTCCTTGATCTTGATCGTACACATTTGCGTGTGTGATTAGTGTACGATTGAATCGAGGGCGTCACACCGAGCCACTCGCAACCCGCATCCCCCGCCCCCACTAGTAGCCCGATCTGGCGACACAGTGGCCCGCCGACACGCCCCACCAAGTAAGCATCACACATCCGCCGCGGATCTGACACGCCGTTATGCCCCACGCAAGACTGACGCCCCTACCTGTTGGCCGCGTCCCGTGCTGCCCCACCATGCAAGGAGTGCGGAGGAGCCCCGCCGCCGCCCACACAAGCCAAGCTTCGCCCTGGCGGCGGCGGGGGGTGAGGGGGGAGGGAGGGAGGCCGGGGAGCGGACGGGGTCAGATGCTGTCTGATGGCTCTTGTGTCCATGAGTATCCAAGGCTAGTCAACTTTAGGTATATAATCCAAGGCTAGTCAACTTGGTGGTAAATATTGAGAAACGATACAAGTGCGGTAAGTTCCGAAAGTGTCTTTCTGTTACCGAGCTCAAATGAGCTGGGTAAACAATAAAATATTAAAATAAATAAAGAAGATCCAAAAAAATCGAGAAACATTGGTAAAAGTTCTCAGTACTTGCAAAATTTCGTCATGGAATCACATTCCTGAAAGGCGCGACAAAAAAAACAAATTCAGTGTTCCAAAATGCTTTTGAAAGTAGCATTTTTAGAGTAACGATTTTTTTGCTACACCTTCTAGGAATGTGATTCTATGACGAATTTTTGCAAGCATTTAAAACTTTTATCAATGTTTCTCTAAAAAAATAGATTTTTTTTACGATTTTACTGTTCACCCGAGCTCATTTGAGTTCAGGAGCAGAAACTCTGCATCCGGTAAGTTCAAAGAACTCTCTTAGCCAAACATTTTGCCGGTTCCGCTGGCAGTATGAATTAGTCCATGTTCCTGTATTGTCGAAGAAAGTAATTACAACGTCTCATCGCCTCCAACTCATGTCTTGTCAGATACAACCAGCCTAAAGCGTACAACTAATCCCC